AACTGTGGTATATATACACCATGGAATACTACTGTGCCATAAAAAAAAGAATGAAATACTCACATTTGGAACAACATGGATTAGCCTTGAGAAACTTATGTTGAGTGAGATAAGCAAAGCATGGAGGGATAAATACCACATGTGCTCACTCATATGTGGTAGCTAAGAGAGAAATAGGAAGGAAAGAAAGATGACAGTGGTGCATAGGACTTGAAGAGGGAGAGAACATTCCTTGGGCTACAAAGTGGAGTGTGAGGGAAAGGGGGAGGGAGAAGGAGGTTGGAAATAATTGGGTGGGGGACATGGGGTACAAATGCAACTTGTGGTAATGGGTATGCTGCCAGTATGAATCTGGCCCTCACACCATGGGCACAAGGGGTGACAATCAGCCTCGTATCTTATGAATATTCATAACAAATAAAAATGAATGAATGAATGAATAAATAAATAAATAAATGGAAAATTTGTATAACTCAATACACACTACCAATCATGTTTCCAAAGTGTTATATCAATTTACAATGCACCACGTCTACTTCTAGGTACCCTTAATACCACCTTTTTCCTAATTTAAAAGATGCGTAAAGGTTAACTTGCATTCTGTTAACTTGCATTCCCCTATCACTGAGACTGAATAACTTTTTAATATTTTTATCTCCTAGACCTATTTTTCTATTGTTGTTGTTCATAATAATGACATTTGTAGCATTAAGTACCATTGTTTTAAAAAAAAATTCATGCATTATTTCTCATTTTTAATTCTAGCTCTTTGTAGAACACTCCAGACATAGTACCTAGTAATTTCGTATTAACTATGTTGACATTTTGATGATAAACTCTAAAAGACAATAACCTGGACATCTGGGATTATTTTTTCTTTAAGGAACAACAATTTTAAGATAAGCATAAACTTGTCCCCTAACTCTGCCACTAACTGGACTTTCCTAATAAAGATATGAAAGCAGTAATAAGACTTAAAGACAGGCATTATTTGAGCAGAAAAGAATAATTATAGCAGCCATTTTT